GCTGGGTATTAAAGTCAAGTTTGTAGTTTTGAGTGTTTGTAGATTAAAAAAAATTTTTTTTTTTACATAATCTCTCACACGTAATTAACAGTAATGCTCATAAAATTCTGAACTAAATGAATAGTTTGTGAGTGATTTCACCTGCATGAAATATATAGAAAATATTTTGAACTTTTGAGAATTACTCAAAATTGTTTCTGTAATGATTTCATGTAAAGGATTTCAGGCATTGTTTTAGACACACTTACAATATTTGGTGATGGCTTTAAAAAATCATAATAAAATATAATATACATAATCTTAAAATAAACTGCAGTAAAACATTTCTTATTCCTTATTTGTATCTTGTTTTCCATGCAGTAAAAGTTTTTAAACATTCTTAAATCAAGATACATTTGAGAAGCACTTAAGAATTGAGAATTACTTAAGATATTAAGTGATTTTTATTTTTATTTATTTTTTAATTATTAATTTTTTGACAAATGTATCAGAATTATGTGAGTTTATGCCTAAGTCAAGAAAACATATCTGCCAGTGGGGTAAGAAAAATAAAGTTATTTCAAAAGGGAAACGATTATTTTCTGACCCCATTGGCTGTTATTTTTTCTTGTTTTGAGCAAACACATACTTTATTTTGATAAATGTTTCAGAATCAAGACTTAATCTTAAATCAGTTTGCTTCTATCAAGTAAATGTGTCTTGCTATAAGAATGTTTGGATATTTGTGATAGAAAACAAGGCAAGCTTACTGAGTAAGAAAATAATTTTTTTAGTCATAGGACACAGTGAGTTCAATAGTGTCCTGTGTTTCTGATCTAATATAGAGACAGATTAGGATACAGAAAGTCACACATGATCACAATTCTCTTTGGTTTTGGAGTAGGGAAGGTTTAATTTTCACCAAGGGGAGTAGGAGGTTTTGGGTGGATGTCTTTATGTGTGCTTGCAGCACAAGGAGAAGAAGCCATAATTTACTGCTTGTTTTAACTAAAACATTACACAATGAAATGTGTAATCCAAAATGCCGGTAAACAACCTGTAAAAAAATTAATATGGAAAATTACTTCTTAGTAACATTTACATTGGGCCGTAGTTTTACAGACTTTTCTTAGATTGAGGTTTTATCTATATTTTCCCCCCTCATGCTTTCCTCTCTTGCTATCTTTCTAACCCAATAGTTTCCTTTTTTTCTGATCTAATATAGAGACAGATTAGGATACAGAAAGTCACACATGATCACAATTCTCTTTGGTTTTGGAGTAGGGAAGGTTTAATTTTCACCAAGGGGAGTAGGAGGTTTTGGGTGGATGTCTTTATGTGTGCTTGCAGCACAAGGAGAAGAAGCCATAATTTACTGCTTGTTTTAACTAAAACATTACCCAATGAAATGTGTAATCCAAAATGCCGTAAACAACCTGTAAAAAAATTAATATGGAAAATTACTTCTTAGTAACATTTACATTGGGCCGTAGTTTTACAGACTTTTCTTAGATTGAGGTTTTATCTATATTTTTCCCCCTCTTATTATTTTAAAATTAAAATGGAAAAAATAGTTCTTATAAATCATTATTTCATAAGCATAAGAGATTTCTTAGTACTTATAAAATTTGTTTATTTATTTTTTTGATTAATTTGTTATTTTTTATTTGTTGTCAACACTCAAATTACATCAATCTGAAAAACCCTAAACCCAGACAGTGGACTTTGCCTCCTCATTGCAGTCAGTCGCATGCTACTGGTGTATTTATTAGTGCTGGTTTATTGTATGTGTTCTATTTACAATGTGTTTACATTATCATGTCTGTATTTACAGAGAATGTTCAGCGTAATGTTTCCGGGTATATTCTTTATGGATGTGTGTTCTTCTCTCAGACAGAACACAATGTTTCAGGAGTTGTCTCAGTAATAACGTTGGCACAGTGACTTTTCACCTTTATTCTTTGTGTTTACTGAGGCAGCGGGCCAGATCTCTGACCAAAGACCCACAGATGCCCTTTAGCATAGAGAACAGGGAATGCTGGGTATTAAAGTCAAGTTTGTAGTTTTGAGTGTTTGTAGATTTAAAAATTTTTTTTTTTTTACATAATCTCTCACACGTAATTAACAGTAATGCTCATAAAATTCTGAACTAAATGAATAGTTTGTGAGTGATTTCACCTGCATGAAATATATAGAAAATATTTTGAACTTTTGAGAATTACTCAAAATTGTTTCTGTAATGATTTCATGTAAAGGATTTCAGGCATTGTTTTAGACACACTTACAATATTTGGTGATGGCTTTAAAAAATCATAATAAAATATAATATACATAATCTTAAAATAAACTGCAGTAAAACATTTCTTATTCCTTATTTGTATCTTGTTTTCCATGCAGTAAAAGTTTTTAAACATTCTTAAATCAAGATACATTTGAGAAGCACTTAAGAATTGAGAATTACTTAAGATATTAAGTGATTTTTATTTTTATTTATTTTTTAATTATTCATTTTTTGACAAATGTATCAGAATTATGTGAGTTTATGCCTAAGTCAAGAAAACATATCTGCCAGTGGGGTAAGAAAAATAAAGTTATTTCAAAAGGGAAACGATTATTTTCTGACCCCATTGGCTGTTATTTTTTCTTGTTTTGAGCAAACACATACTTTATTTTGATAAATGTTTCAGAATCAAGACTTAATCTTAAATCAGTTTGCTTCTATCAAGTAAATGTGTCTTGCTATAAGAATGTTTGGATATTTGTGATAGAAAACAAGGCAAGCTTACTGAGTAAGAAAATAATTTTTTTAGTCATAGGACACAGTGAGTTCAATAGTGTCCTGTGTTTCTGATCTAATATAGAGACAGATTAGGATACAGAAAGTCACACATGATCACAATTCTCTTTGGTTTTGGAGTAGGGAAGGTTTAATTTTCACCAAGGGGAGTAGGAGGTTTTGGGTGGATGTCTTTATGTGTGCTTGCAGCACAAGGAGAAGAAGCCATAATTTACTGCTTGTTTTAACTAAAACATTACCCAATGAAATGTGTAATCCAAAATGCCGTAAACAACCTGTAAAAAAATTAATATGGAAAATTACTTCTTAGTAACATTTACATTGGGCCGTAGTTTTACAGACTTTTCTTAGATTGAGGTTTTATCTATATTTTTCCCCCTCATGCTTTCCTCTCTTGCTATCTTTCTAACCACTGGGATTTGTTGTTTTTCCATAGTTGTATTTTTTTATATAAAAAACACACCTCGAACACATTCTTTTTAAAAGTAATTAGATTTTTTTAAGAATGATTGAGTTTTTTTTATTATTCGGTGACACTTCATTCCTTGGATGCTGAGTTGCATTATTTTAATGATCCTGCTGTGGTTACATACTAACAGCTATTAGTGGTTACATACTAACAGCCCCCCCAAACCGTATTTTCTATTGCCCTACACCAACCCTACCCCTAAACCTACCCCTTACAGGAAACTTTCTGAATTTTTAGATTTTCAAAAAAACTAATTCTGAATTATTTATAAGCCTTTTGAATTACGGGGACACTGAAAATATCCTCATAAATCACCTTCTCGTTGTAATACCTATGTCATACCCATGTTATTATACAAATTTGTGTCCTCACAAACCACATAAACATGCACACACACACACACACACACACACACACACACTCACTCACTCACACACACATGCTGCCTTGCTGTTTATTCTGGCTCTTTTGGGAATTCTCATAGTCTATTTGTTCATCTCTGGTTTCAGTGTTACATGAAGCACAGTGGACTCTGGACCTTTGTGACAAACTGTTTAAAAGAACTTTCTCCTCTGCATCTCTTACTAAATAAACATTTGAATTAAAACCAAGTCTGACCTGATGTGCCTCTATTGTATGCTCCATTAACTAGCTTTCTACAAGTTATAGACTCTTCTAAAAGTTCTACACTATTATGAAAGTGACAGAGCCTTATAGTTATAGATATCGGTACTGATATCCAAACCAAAAGAAATCTTTGAAATTGACTTGAAATCTTTACAGCATTTTTTGGACAGTTACAAGTAAAATATTATAACCTCAATCACAAGTAAATTATTCACAGGCTAATAATTTCCTGGAGTAGCAATTTTCAATATGTCATCTGCAAAACACTCCCCCTCCAAAAAAGCAGTTATCCTGTCTGGTTTGGTGTGATGAATTTCCCAGAAGAGAGCAGTGTAACCCACTACAGAGGCTATTTACCTCCCTCTACAATGTCGCTTTGCATCATGTATTTTGGACAGATTTAGAAATAATTATATTAAAATATGCATCATGTTCCTCTGTGACGTTGTCTTATTTTTCCAGTCACTTTTTCATAGAAAATGTGTAAAAGGAAGTGCATCTACTAATACAACTAGAAAAAACAGGCCTACTGGTCTTTTTGAGAAAGCTGTCTTTATGTAGTCTGCCAAGATTTGTTTCTGGAAAAACCATGAAAATCACAAACAGGTTTCAAAAACATTAAAGGAAATGCAGGCAGCAGTTATATGACACTTACAGGAAATATTAAAGGTTTGTGCAGTATGTACATTACAGTTCAAAGCTTTGGGGTTGGTAGTTATAGTATATTTCAATATTTAATTTATTCATGTGATGGCAAAGCTGATTTTTCAGCAGCTTTTACTCCAGTCTTCAGTGTCACATGATCTGTTCAAAAGGTTGGGGTCAGTTTTTTGGGCCCCCTTTTGAAAGAAATTAATACTTTTTTTTGTTCAGCAAAAATTCATTAATCCAATCAAAATGACAGTAAGGGCATTACATTTTCACAATTTTAAATAAATGCTCTTCTTTTAAACATTCTATTCATCAAAGAATCCTGAAAAAATGAACTTCTTTAAAAAAGTAAGAATTTCTTAAACAAAAAAAAAAAACATACTGACCCCAAACCTTTGGACGGTACTGTATGCTTAACATGCAGAGGGGGTAAGTGTTACTCTGATATCCGACTTCCTTTTTATTAATGTCCTTCAGCAAGCACTTCCTCTGACACAGTTGGGCCTACAATGCAGTAGTCTGTCAAGCCAGGACCTCGCTTGAATTCTTCAGAATGAGCTCCTCCCCTGGTCCGGCCCCTGTGTCAGCCTCCCCTGCCCTGGACTCCGGCAAGGCCAATCGAGGGGACTCGCCTAACACCTTACCCCATCTGTACTCGTCCCAGCTCGGCATGGACAGCCAGACCATCTGCATTCCATCTCCATATGTGGAAGCCTGTCAGGATTATTCACCACGGCACGGGGAAGAGATCAGCCACGGAGCCTTAACGCTCTACAGCCCCGTGTCCTCCACAGTGCTGGGGTACACTCATCCCCCAGTGTCCGAAAGCCTGGTCCCTTTAAGTTCGACAATCTTCTGGCCTCCCCACACCACACACTCTGCGCTGTCTCTGCACTGCCCGCCTCCACTGGCCTACAGCGAAACACACGCACACACCACCTGGGAGGACGCCAAGACACACACGATTAACCAGGGCAGGTGAGAAAACAGCAGATCACATGCAGTGTCTTAATAATTGATATATGCCTTTAATCTCCAAGTAGCAGCTGTGAAATGGATAGTTCAGTTGCCATGGAGACAATAAAAGCCTTGTTACCACATAAAACTTTTTGAGCAGATACATGATATTACTTTTCTAATCTGACTTTTTACAGGGCAGACAATAAAACACGTCTGTTCAGGTCTGTTTTGATAGGATCGCCGACAGCGGGGGAAGAAATGATTCTAAATGCAAATGAGAAAATTTACCTGTAATTGTGCATAGCTCAGCAAAATAAATAGACTATTACATAAAGCATAAAATAAATAAATTAACTTAAAAATGCATTAAAGGCTATAATGTAATATATGAATTAACTTGTGTTCTATGATGTTTTTGATATTCCTGACACAAATTCACCTGTCACTTTGTAAAATCTAGCTACATTAGGCAGATGTGAACAGGACCAAACATGCAAATACATATTTATATAGGATATTATCACAAAGGGTTTAAAAAGCTAATAAAAATTAAATTGATCATAAAATTATCAAATTAAACAATAATAATAATTTCCAGGATTTTCTTAGCTGTGTTGGCATCTGGGCAATTTTTTCATTTTTTAAAACTTGATCTAAATCTCATGAATAAAAATTCATGAATAATAAAACTGATAAAAATGATACAAACCACAAATTTACTAACACTTAGGCCTAATTTAAAATGATAATGGAATATATAAAAATAAGCAAGCAAGAACCCTTCACGTTTTCTTTAGAAAATGTACACAAAAATTCTTCTTGCTCTTTTTTTACTTTATCTGTACCTTCATCTTTTACAGTTCTGTCCTTACTCATGCAAAGCTGTTAGGGCAGCAACTGGACGGTGATGATGGCTTGAATCCTTCACCAGGCATTTTGGGTAAAGGAGACACACACTTCTGTGCGGTGTGTCATGACTACGCCTCTGGGTATCACTATGGTGTCTGGTCATGTGAGGGGTGCAAAGCTTTCTTCAAACGGAGCATTCAAGGTAATATTGGTCAAGGTAACCATTTAACATAACAAACACATGCTCTTCAGGTGTTCCATTTTCTGAAATGCCATGTTAATCAATGGAGGGTTTTGGCATTTTGAGTTTTTATAAGCAGATTTTTTCATGAATCCTCAAACACTCTACTTGTTCTGTGCGTGGATTTCTTTGTGTATGCCAGGGTCAGTTCTCTGTGTTCCCCCAACAAGTTTGTTTTGACCTTTCAGCCAATAGACACTACTCAGAAAGCCAGATATGTAAAAACACATCAGTTTTTACAAATACTAGATCTCAGTAAAAACCACACAGTATTTTATTCTTTAAAGGACACATTTGTTTCACAGATTATATTAATTCCATGCAAAAAATGTATTCTTTGGTCAGTTTGCGATGTTCCTACTAATATCTCCAAGGATTACTTAATCGGAAAAAAAATAGATATTTTATATGTTATTTTGTAATTTAGATTTTGCAAACATCAGATAACATCATCAAAACATCAAAATAACAAATGAATATGATAAATAGGATTGTCAAAGTCAATGTGTGTGATTAGTGATTAGTATTACTTTTATAGCTTTTAAATTTTGTGCTAAAACAGTTTTGGATATATTATATTTGGATATATTATTATTTATATTGAAATCAATTTTAAAATGTAATGTTTTCCTATTATGGAAAAGCAGAATTGTCAGTCTAGTCTTCAGTGTCACATGATTCTTCAGAAATCATGCAACACCCGTTTCTTATTATTATCAATTTTAAGAACAGTTGGGCTGTTTAATAGATTTGTGGAAACCGTGATACATTTTTTTCATGATTCTTTGATTAAAAGGAAGTAAAAAAACAAACAATTTATTTGAAATATACGTCTTTTGTAACATTACACGTCACATTTGCTAAATTGATAAATTTTCATAACATTATGCATGCATCCTTGCTAAATAATTGTATTAATTTCTTTCAAGCTTTTGAACGGTAGTGTAGCGAATTTAACTCATGGGGAAATATGAATAATTAACCATAACTAATTATGATTAATTATTAATATTTTAGATCCACTGTAGATATTTAGCTGACCACTCAGGGTCAACCGTCTTGTCAATTCTAAGAACGTTAATTTCCTGGTTAAAGGAAATAACTTTCTTACTGTACAATTCTATAAGTTTGTAACGTAAATCTGCATGATTATTGACTCCGGTTATGAGTAAACAATGAACACGTCAAGTGTGATACAAGTAAGGTTTTATTAACTACATAAACACTTAAACTAGTCTAACATACTACATAAACACATTAAGCCGGTCTAACATACACATACACACACACACACATACAGTTGGTATAGGAAAGGGTTAAAGTTTAGCACTAAAGAAAGAGACATAATGGCTACAACATAACTAAACAAAACACAAACAAATAATATTTAAACATAAATAATATAAAATAAAAATACTTTCTTAAATGGCTACAGCAATATATGTTTCATATATGGAAATTTAATGTACGTATATTACATTTGCGTATGCTTTTTAATTTTTTGTTTTAGTTTAAAGTGTTTTTATAAAATTATTAAGTCAAGGATTTCTAGCAAATAGATTTCTTGTCATTTCTAAAAGGTTAATGGGATTCAGTCATTATTTAATCACCCTCATGTTGTTTTAAACTGGAATGATGGTCTCCTGTGGAATAAACTAAATAATTTCGCAGAATATTGCTTATCCATTCAGTGAAAGTGAATGGTGAGCAGGGGCTCTCGTGCTCCAGAAATGACAAAAAAGCATTAAAAATAAATAAAAATCATTTTGTGTGAGTGTATGTGCATGCACTTCCAGCATTTGAAGGGCAAGCAGCTGTGTAAGAGTGTTTTTCCGGAAGACATTTGTGTGTTTGTTACTCCTCTCGAAGGTTTTGTGGAGCTGACTTTGTCAGATCAGGTGCATCTGTTGGAATGCTGCTGGCTGGATATATTGATGTTGGGACTGATGTGGAGATCCGTGGATCATCCCGGAAAACTCATCTTCTCACCTGACCTCAAACTCAACAGGTAAAATTTCCCACTCCAAGACAGGCCACTTTGCTTTTATTATTGTCATTGATATATGGTGTATATAATAAAATAATAAAAATAAAAAAGGCTTAATATATATATATATATGTATATATATATACTGTATATATATATATCTCTTCTTTTTACTTTTTATTATTTTAAAATACTTTTAATATATGTAAATATATTTTAGTATATATATATATATTTATAAGCAAAATAGTACAGCCTAACAATGTATGTTCTGACAAAATTATTTTGCACGCAAAGTAATTTGAATATAATTCCGTTATGATTTCCCTTTTATCTCTTTTTCAAACCTTTTCTTTCTTTCTTTCTTTCTCTCTAATTCTTTCAGGGATGAAGGGACCTGTGTTGAAGGCATCATGGAGATCTTTGACATGCTGCTGGCCACCACCTCCAGATTCAGAGAACTGAAGCTTCAGAGAGAGGAATACGTCTGCCTCAAAGCCATGATCCTTCTCAATTCCAGTATGACACTATTCTGATTGTGTGTGTGTACATTATTGTGCGAGATTAAAATGCAGTTTGTATCTTGTTTTTTTCCCTCTACATAACTGTAGGGCATACTAATTACAACATGCAACTATATTTACATGACTGGTGTGGTCTCCTGCCAATGCCGCCCTCTTGTGTTTTAACCCTATAAAGCCTACTGTATCATCTTTGATACATGAATATCCTTTATACGTGATTAAATAATCAACATAATCAAAATTTTGCTGAAAGCATTCCTTCTGAACTTTGATTGATAGATCATATTTTTAAAAAAAGCAAAGGCCTTTTAGTATAATTGTACAAATGTCCTCGATATTGTGGTACACGTCTTTTCGGTCTGAAATCTTTAATGATTTTAATAAAGCAAATGTAAGAATAACTTTCATATTGTAAGTTATATTTAAAGAACACCTACTGGGCTGAAGCAACTTAGATTTATTTGAATATACATTTTTTTGTTGAAAAATCATGTTAAAATCTGAGTTTAAAATATGATGAATGTTTGTTTGTACATCTCTCATTCATTATTATATTGCATTGCACTGCATTATGTTTTGATCACAAAACTAAGCATTTAAATATCATCTTACTAGATGTATTATCTGGAGATATACAGTGGCAAATGATATTTATGCACTTAGTAGTCTGCTATACTGTTACAAAAATAATTAATTTACATTACATTCACATTACAAGCCATCAGAATTTCATTTTATTTTTTTCGTTATATAAATAACAACATTACACCAAATTGTATATTTTTGCTCAGTTTGAGCCTCTAAATAAAGCGGAGGTCAAAATTATTTTTTCCCCCCTCAAATATGTGACCCTGGAGCACAAAACCAGTCTTAAGTAGCACGGGTATATTTGCAGCAATAGCCAAAAATACATTGTATGGGTCAACATTATCGATTTTTCTTGTTCCATGAAGATATTTTGTAAATTTCCTACTGTAAATATATCAAAACTTAATTTTTAATTTGTAATATGCATCGCTAAGAACTTCATTTGGACAACTTTAAAGGCCATTTTTTTCAATGTTTTGATTTTTTGCACCCTGAGATTCCAGATTTTCAAATAGTTGTATCTCGACCAAATATTGTCCAATCCTAACAAACTATACATCAATGGAAAGCTTATTTATTCATGTATAAATTGAAAAATGTATCCTTATGACTGGTTTTGTAGTCCTGGGTCACATATGAGCTCCATATTCTCACTACAGTATATCACACTAAATGAGCCATAAAAGCCTGCATATCAAATATGATACAAAACATAATGCACATAAGCAGATGTTGTTTATATATATATATATATTTTGTCTGACTGTTCAATTAAAAGAATATATTTTTTCAGGCTATTATTTCGTATGTCAGGCTTTACAGGGTTAAAACTGCAGTCTGATTGCTGACTCCATGAAAAGTTTGTGGCTAGATGGTAACCTTTGTTCAGTCATATTATCACAAAGTTAACTGTTTTCTCTTTAACCACATCAGATGTTGTGATTCACTTCTGTTGTGTGCTTGTTAACAGATAACTGTTCAAGCTTGCCACAGACTCCTGAAGATGTGGAGAGCCGTGGCAACTATACATCAATGGAAAGCTTATTTATTCATGTATAAATTGAAAAATGTATCCTTATGACTGGTTTTGTAGTCCTGGGTCACATATGAGCTCCATATTCTCACTACAGTATATCACACTAAATGAGCCATAAAAGCCTGCATATCAAATATGATACAAAACATAATGCACATAAGCAGATGTTGTTTATATATATATATATTTTGTCTGACTGTTCAATTAAAAGAATATATTTTTTCAGGCTATTATTTCGTATGTCAGGCTTTACAGGGTTAAAACTGCAGTCTGATTGCTGACTCCATGAAAAGTTTGTGGCTAGATGGTAGCCTTTGTTCAGTCATATTATCACAAAGTTAACTGTTTTCTCTTTAACCACATCAGATGTTGTGATTCACTTCTGTTGTGTGCTTGTTAACAGATAACTGTTCAAGCTTGCCACAGACTCCTGAAGATGTGGAGAGCCGTGGCAAGGTTCTGAGGCTGCTGGACTCTGTGACTGACGCTCTAGTTTGGACCATCTCCAGAACAGGATTGTCCTCACAGCAACAGTCCATCCGGCTCGCCCATCTGCTAATGCTGCTCTCACATATTCGACACCTCAGGTACCACAGCAGACTGTGTTTGTGATCTCACAGGGATCGTATTATATACTTTCACAGCATTTTGTTTCAATTTTCACTGGCTCACTGTTCCTTTCTTCTGTCATCCATAGCAACAAAGGCATCGAGCATCTGTCAACCATGAAGAGAAAAAACGTGGTGCTGCTGTATGATCTTCTGCTAGAGATGCTGGATGCCAACACATCCCAGAGCAGCCGGATGCTAGCGGCTCACACAAAAGCCTCTCTCCGGTCGGACACACAACAGACCACAGAGATCCTCCTCACATCCAGACAGCAGCCTGCGCTGAAAGAGAGCAACCAGGAGACCCGGCACAGTCCACAGTGAGTGTATCCATACATGCACACTCGTGTTGAATTGTGCCATTTTTAGTAATACAGAAATCATATTTTGTGAAAAATCCACCCACAAGTTTGTCAAAAGATAACCACAAGATATCCAAATGATAGTTAAGTTTATGTAACTGGTTGCCATTCAAAGAAAAAATAAAAATAAATTAATACTTTTATTCAGCAAGGATGCATTAAATTGATCAAAAGTGACAGCAAAGACTTTGATTTTGTTGCAAAATAGTTTACTATGTTAGAAAAGATTTGTGCAGGTAAATGTTTTTTTTAAAAAACAGCAACAAATTTTTTCAACAAATCCTGAAAAAATGAATCATGGTTTACACAAAATATTAAGCTGCACAACAGTTTTGAACACTTATAAGAAATGATGTTCTTGAGCAGCAAATCAGCATATTAGAATGATTTCTGAAGGATCATGTGACACTGAAGACTGGAGTAATGATGCTGAAAATTCAGCTTTGCCATCATAGGAATAAATTGCATTTTGAAATATATTAAAATAGAAAACAGTTGTTTTAAATTGTAATAATATTTCACTAAATTACTGTTTTAATTGTATTTTTGATTAAATAACTGCAGCCTTTTAAAAGTTTACCTTTAAAAACTTTCCTGTTCACACGATTTTTGTTTGTTTTACAAACTATGTTAAATAGGCTGTATCATGTTGAACCTGGAGCATTCCTTCAACTACAATCAAATGAATCATTATATATTTCTTAAAATGAGATTTTTCACACAAGGTTTTCTCATCTAAGCTAACACATATTTGTGTCTGCCTCTCTAGAGCTGAAGAGACAGTGGATAAGACATTACGTTCTAGTCTGCCTCGAGTGGACATGGACACAGACTGACAGTATCCCTTCTGTGGGGTAAAAATCTCCCTGGATGCAGCATTGGATATGAATCCAATTTCCAAGCCGCTTGTCCAATGTAGGGTCTTGGGGGATTCAAACCAGACCTGGAAAAAAATCTTAGATGACCAACAACAACCTGAACCAAACAGGGCTTTCAAATGGCGCTTCAACACAATGCAGTTTGAACTGTTGTTTTCCTATTATGCCATAATGTCAACCTGAAGAGGAATCCTTCTTATTCAAACCAATCATGTTTTCAGTATTCAAGAAATCACAAATGGAATCCTTTTAATGTGGTGTGTAATTTCTGTGGTAAACAGTAGCAAGAAACTGTTTTAAACAACATTCGAACACTCCCCCGTCTGCCATTTCTCAGCTAGCACCACCCCTAAATCACGCAATTGGTTGAGCCAGTGCAAACCATCAAACAGATTGCCGAAATTACACGCTGCACATTTAAATATTTGGTTTGCCATCCAAGATGTCAGAGAACCTCTGACTTAACAAACATGACTGTTTCTCTGAAGACTGGCTGAGCTAAATGAAACGAACACTTCTAATATTTTATGCATTTTGTACTCTTGTGTCTGTGTATTTGTGACATGTGTGCTGTTATTTGCTGTTCTGTGTTGCTTCTCGTGGTTTATAAAGTACTTGTCACTGACAGTAAATGTAACGCTTTTAAAAACATCTGGGAATGCTGACGCCTCTTTCAGATGTTTTCTTAAAGCCTGGCTTAAGATGCACAATCAACACTTGAAAAGTGTATCAAATTATATTATACTTTGTAATGTGTAATTACAGATGCAGCTGAGTTTTCTGGTGCTACAAGTGTTAATAACGGTGCATCCTTGTTCATATTCTGCACCTAAAGTGTCCTGAGAAGCAGCAATTGCATTAAAGCTGCAGTGTATAATTTTTGCACGTCACCAAGTAGTGTTGCAATGCTGCCTTCCATATTGGTGGGCTCATCCCAGTGCCCTTATCCCTTCGAAGGGTTTACCCTCCAGAGTCAGTGCTTCGAAAGGATGAAGGGTGTAGGGGACCAAAATGTGTTCCTTGCAAACCACTTCTGCATCATTTTGCTAAGCAAATTAACGTGGCACCGTCGTCGCACAAAGACTCATGGAAGCAAAGTGTACATCAATTATACCTGTTGAAATCCTTCATTCCGAAGTGCCCTTCAGAGGTGGCATTATCTTGTTTAGAACGCAACATGAAAGTATTTTTCAAACATTTTCCCACACACTCCCTCATTTGTCATTGGTTGGACAAACACAGTCCCAAACTAGTGTAATTGGTTGACCTACTTTTATTTTTCTGGTTAAACAAAAAAAAATTACACCAGCTTTAAACAGGAAAAATATACTGGTGATACACTGACACAACAGTAAGTTTCTACAGGTCGCAAAACTAAATACATTTTATTGTATTCAGCTGCATATTAAATAAATATGTGGGAATTAAATAAGTGAACGCGTGCATATTTGTACGGTGTTTATTTGTAGGAAAATTGACTTCAAACTAAAAAAACACAAACATCTTTATATTGTCTTCAACCAGTGTTTGACATTGGCAGTGCAAGGTTTGCTGCAAAATAAATTCATAATAAAATGAATGTTTTCTGTGATTAATGGATACTTTATATCATAGTCTATTTTAGTTGACCCATAATGTAATCTATACTATAACAATCCAATTAAAAACATCAAACAAGACGAACAGCACTATTTTAGTAACTCTGTCTCTGACACTTTGGCAGTTAGTATGAGTGAAAGAGTGACTAATGGCCTTTCTCCAGACTTTCTGTAGGTTCAAAATAAAATAAAAGCCACATACAGCCATGTGGACACTTTTGAAATGTGTTTCTGAGACACCTTAACCATTTAGCTCAAAACACACCAGACACAAACACATCTGGGTACCAGATTTTCCTGCCTGAAAAATTCTAGCTATAAACTATAAAACATAATCAGATATAATTTATATCTCCACTGAGATCATTTACCAATTATAATTAAATAATTTCAGTAGTTTTACAATATTCACACACACACATGAAAGCATCACAGCCACCAAACTTTAGGCTGAATAAATTAAACATAACATTTGCACACACCCTGATGCCTCTTTGCATCTCTCCTCCATGGCTTTGACCAAGAAAATGGTAGCTAAGAGAGCTACAAATAAAATATATTCATCATTGCAAGTCATTTTACACTGACTCCTAGAAACAAGACTGTATGAACATAACTGATATTCAAGCAAGTCCAATCACTCAGACAGCTTAGGGCTTCTAGTTAAACAATACAGGCCGACTCAAAGCCTATAGGGTTCAATTATGTCATTTATATGTCAAAAATAAATACATTTGTGTGAAGGAGTATTTCAATGTTTCAATGAATGTGCTGCTACATACTATACAATTAAAAAATGAGTGCACCTTTGATGAGGAGTCCTTGCCGTTCTCTAAAAATACAAATATACATCATGAGGAAAGTTTCGGACTGCTTCAGAAAAAAAATCACTCTCCATGTGCAACAGTCCTCGGATCCAGGAACAAGATTTGATTGTTGCAGGACAATCTACTGAATCCCAAACACAAGGGCTTTCACTCAGATTAATCAGAGCTACAGGATCTGCTACAGGAGAGTAAACCAAGAGGCTTGGACTATGCCCCATTTCCTCTACTGAATGAGCTGTGGCTGTGTGTTAGTGAAGGGTACGTTTAGTTGTTCTCATGTGGGTGGGGGTCCGTTGGTGTAGAGGAGCATGGGGTAAAAGGATCGGGCAAAGTTGTTGGAGAGAGTGCAGCTGTAGTCGTCCTCTGAGAGAGGCACCAGACACGCCACAACCAGCAGCAGCAGGAAGAAGATGTGGAGGGGAAAAGCTGCTCGTAGGACACGATACAGGAACGGCCTCGCTGGGGACGAATCAGACTTGTCAGCCCTGCAGAAAGACAGTTAGACAGTTATTGTTAGACAGTCAAAATATTTTACGCTACTGCTAAAATGTTTGGGTTTAGTAATATTTTTTAAAATAAACATTCAGTAAGGATGCATTAAATTGATCAAAAGTCACAGTAAATACTTACATTGTTAATTTTTTTTCTTTTTACCTTTTTATTGATCAAAGAAGCCAACCATGTTTTTTTAACATTAATAATAATAAATGTTTCTTGACCACTAAATTATAAAAAAATATTTTTGAAAGATCATGTGACACTGAAAATTCAACTTTGCCATCACAGAAATATATGTATATATAAATGTTTTAAAATATATCACAATAGTACAAAACAATATTTGTAATTGTAATAATATTTAACATTATTACTTTTTTACTGTATCTTTGATCAGATAAATGTAGCTTTGGTGAACATAACAGACTTTTTTTTTTTCAAAAACATTATAAAATCTTACCAACCCCAAACTTTATATTTTTGTGGAAACCAAGGATCTTTGGTGAAAACAATATTTTGTAACATTAATATTGTCTTTACTATAAATTTTGATCAATTTAAGGCATCCTTGGTGATAAAAAGTGCCCACACTTTTGAACCTTTAACCTAAAACGAGGATGTTGCTTAAAAAAAATCAGCTATGCATAATTCAATGTGAGTTATTTCTTAACTTTGTGGCTTGTGAAGGTCAGCATAAAGTACATGTTGAATCTTTCGAGAGGTGAAAGTGAAGCAGATGTGTGAAATTGAGAAAAACTAGAGGGTGTGAGGAGAGTACTAGAAGAAATCAACTTCAGCAAGGTCATACAAGATCGCAAAATCTCACGACTGAACACAGATGCATAGTAATACTATCAGTGTGTACCTGACACTCGCAGGAGATCCCCGTGTAACAGCCGGAACTCCTGCGGCTTCCTAGAGAGATCAGAGAAATGACTCAGTGTTTGTTATACCATCAAGTAATCATGATAAACACAGACTAGAGATTCTTAGAAAACCCTCATTTACTGTTACTTTCAAAACCAAACTGCCCAAGAGCAGCATTAGAAGATAAAATCTATATTATGAAGTCAGAGCTTTGCAATTTCCAGTCTGAACCGGGTGTTAATGCAGAGAGTGTTTCTGTACCTGCTGTTGTGTTGATGCTGTCCTGCCCACATTTGGATCAGCTGAGTCCTGCAATAGAACATCAAGGATCAAAACATCAGTGTGTGAGAGTGAAACCCGCCTGGCCTGCAGAGAAAGCTTGTGCTTGTGTGTGTGAGACTGGATAAAATGTACCAGTCTGCTTTGCAGCGTGTGCAGATCGTGTGCAATCTGTTTGATCAGCAGTCGTAACTTGTTGCTGATAACGTGAACCTTCTCTTTGGCCTCCAGAGTGTCTTCTCCCTGGTCCTGTAGCAGGATCTGTGAGGAGATCTCCTGCAGGCAGTGCACCTCCCTCTCACGAGACTGTAAGTCCTGCTGAACAGCCTGTTATGCACAGATAACAACAACCCACATATTAAGATATGAAGAAATTTTGTCGCACAATCGTTTTTTCATCACATTTTTGTGGGGGCATTATTATGTATTGTACAATAACAGCACACAAGCACACTATTCTACCTTGAGCGTGTCTCGATGCTCTTGCAGGATGTTAAGGTCTGTGTTTTGGTCATGGATGTTGACCATGTAGCGCTGGCTTTCTGCTTTAGCTAACCACAGCAGCAGAGAGTGAAGAGTCTCGTGAAACTCCTGTGAAAAAGAAAATGGAATAAACAGATGAGTCTGTGTTTCTCACAGGTCATCTTTACAAAAGCCCTAAGGGAAGTTACAGGAAAAAATAGCACATAATTTGCCCCCAAAGCTGGCTTTTTTTTTTAAATTAAATGATAATTACATTTTAATTACATTTGATACAAGTCTGTCACAGTATGCTGTAGCTTTAAGAACAACGTGTACCCCAGCATTTCTAAAACCTTTTTCAACAAACTTTGCAAGTGCAAGTGCAAGTGTGTGAAGGCACAGCGACATGAGCTTACTAAAAGCATCTTGTGTTGCAGTTGCAAAACAAAACAAAAAACACTCATGGTACTTTGCTGTAGAGTCTTAACTCTGGGATCAGTGTCACTTTTCGAGATTGTTTTTCCTTACCTGGCACTCCATGAGTGCTTGATGCAGTCGGTGTTCCCAGCTGTCTAGGGCCGCACAGGCCTGTGTCCATTTCTGATTGGCTGCCTGCAGATTCTCACGCAGTTCGCATAGTTCGGCGCTGTCTCCGTGCTGGAAGCCCCGCCCACTGAGATTAACACCAATCATCACTGATTTGTAGCCATTAAAAGTCCTCTGCATGTCCTTATGAAAAACAAAATGAGAAAATTAACCTATAAGGTATATGCCTAAATAATACACACTACCATTCAAATGTTTGCTCACCAAAGCTGCATTTATTTGACTAAAAATACAGTAAAAACAATAATATTGTGAAAAATTATTGCAATAAAAAAATCTGTTTTTTATTTTAATATATTTTACAAGGTAATTTATTTAGGTGATGTCAAAGCTGAATTTACAACAGTCATTACTCCAGTCTTCAGTGTCACATGATCCTTCAGAAATCATTCGAATATACTGATTTGATGCTCAAAATTTTTTTTTTTATATTCATATTATTATAAATATTGAAAACAGTTGTGCTGCTTAATATTTTTGTGGATACCATGATACATTGTTTCAGGATTCTTTGATGAACAGAAAGTTCAAAAGAACAACATTTATTAAAAAAAAAAACATTATAGAAGTATATAAAGTGCTGTTCAAAAATAGTAAGATTTTAAATGTTGCTTAAGTCTATTCTGCTCACTAAGGCTGCATTTACTTGATCAAAAATACAGAAAAAAAACTGTAAAATAGTGAAATTATAACTATTTAAATGAACTGTTTTCTATTTTAATATACTTTAAAAAATTATTTATTCCTGTGATGCAAAGCTGAATTTTCATCATCACTACTCCAGTCTTCAGTGTCTCATGATCCTTCAGAAATCATTCCAATCTAATATGCTGATTTACTGTATTATCGATGTTGGAAACAGTTGTGTTGCTTAATATTTTTTGGAACCTGTGATGCTTTTTTATTTCTGTGACCAGGTTTGCATCACAGGAATAAATTATATTTTACAATATATTCACATTGAAAACATAGAAATTTAAAATTGCAATAATATTTCACAATATTGCTGTTTTTTCTGTATTTTTGACCAAATAAATGCAGCACTTATGAGCAGAAGAAACTTATTTTAAAAACATTAAATATAGTACTGATCCCAAACTTTTGAACGGCAGTGTATATTTAAAATATATAAATATAAATTATTAATAAAAATGCACTCTCTCAAGTGCATTGTTTTATAAACTTTGTTTGTGTCCGATGCTATCACTCTCTAAATGTCTCTGTAAGAAAGTACCTTTAGTTTGTGGATATTGCTCTCCATGTCTCTGATGGTGATTTTTGGCTCTAGAGTTTGAAGCTTCTCTAGCTCAGGCATCACAGTGTCCAGCCATGTCATGACATCAGTGAGGTCAGAGTTGAGTTTGTGCCACTGCTGAAGATCCTGTGGCACGCTGCACGACTGCACCTGCAGGAGCTCCCATCGCTCGATCACACCTGACGCCACAGATCAGAGGGCAAAGGTCAGATATGACTGAAACTCAACTCATGTATGAACATTTCTGTAAAAGTATTAGAAATAGCAATACCCGTCTTATCAGCTGCAGAGAGTGCCGTCAAACCATGATCGTCCAGTTGTTCTTCCTCGCTCAGAATCAGTTTCACTCGCTTTATACTGTCTATACTACCAGCACACTCAGACATGAGTTTATCCTGGAGAGAAAGAGGAAATACAACACAAAATGAGTTTATATGTGTGTGCCAATGTTAATGTGTGTTATTGAGTGTGATGCATGTGTGAGGACTCACATAGGCCTGTGGGTGGTACTGAGCGCTGGTGTCAGTGGGTGAAGATGTGAGACTGCGTATGATTTCTCTGTTCGCTCGCTTCCTGTCTGGCGCATCAGGAGAGTGCCACGGCTCCACCACTGACCTTCCCCCTAAGCGAGAGACAGAGAGAGATATTTTAACTCCTTATATCACTTAAAACAAGCATGCAGGAAGTCATCACTCAGTTGCACAACAAAAAATAATAAAGATGCAATTGGTTGCAAAACTGACGTGCATTATGAAAAACATCTGTCTGAACATGTACTACGACACATGCAGGAGAAGATTCTTGGCAAACATGAAAACAAGCATCAAGGGATTTCAAGAACACGGGCACCTGCTTGAGAGAGGAAGTTGTTAAGCAGTCAGGCAGTGAGCATAAGGCATAACATGTCTATTATATTTAGAGATGAATGAAGGAAACATATACTAAAGCACACATGTAATGTGCAGTGACAGTGCTGACAGCATGCAGCAGGCTGATGCCTACCGGACACAGCCTTCAGAGCTTTAGATGTAGCTTTAATAAATGACTGAGAGCTCTCAGTGACTTCTACATCTGCAACAGAAGAGTGGCAGACAGACAGTGATCTAGAGACAAAATAATCTAGACTAATAGAGAGTCATTTAACAGACAGAGATCTAGATACAGTATAACAGGGAGGCAGAAAACAAGACGATGTACAGCAGATACACTACTAGAGCATTGAATAACAGCTCTAGATACACCAATCTAATTCATCATATGGATCATTCGATAATTGGGGTACATTTCACAGCAATGAAAAATGCAAAAACAACATGCTTTCTCAACATAAAGACTATTGGTTTCTTCATATATTTCATCAGTGCAACATATGCTACTTGCCAAGCTTAATCAATCAGGAGTTTTTCAAGAAAATACTATTTCAGTTTTCTATACTTATAAATTGCACATTTCCTGTAATTCAGTGTGTTATTGTCCATTTCTTTGTAATTGTTTGTCAAATTTACTAATTGTTTATAACTATATCAGCCATTTCTTAGTTGCAGGTGGTTGTACAGTTAGTAACATAATTGACAGAAAGTTGTGGAAATAAATATCGCAGAAAGAAATATTTTTTTAGAAATTCATTTAATATGATAATATTGACCTCAATTTTTTTAAATAATTACTTTGAACTCAAAAGCCAATGACAAAAAAATGGACACTGCAAAAACAGTAATTTAAGGGACATCAAGATAATTTCAAGTAATACAATATTATTTTTGTCAAGAAAATTGTTATGATCATCAATGGACATGAAATGTACCCTAAATTGTAGAATGACTCATATAATAAATAAAGAGATCTAGATACAGTATTACAGATTACTAGTGCATCTATATACACTAATACAGCACTGGATAGTATACAAGGACATCTAAAACACTCAAATAGAGAATCCAATAACAGACAGAGATCTAGATTCTCTTTAAACAAGCAGCAAAAAGAGCTCGACATTTACCTAAAAGTGCAGTAGATAGCAGATAAAGAGATCAATAGAGCGGCAGATTACAGACAGTGATAGATATACTCTAACAGAGTTAGACTCTAACTATCTGGGCACTCTAACAGAGTGTCATGTAAGAGACAAAGAAATCTAGAAAGACCCTAATAGTGCAACATATAGCAAAAACAGAGATCTAGAAACTCTAACAGAGTGGCCTATAACAGACAGACAGATCTAGATACACTTTAACAGAGCTGCAGAGACCAGTCTTTAAAGAGTTACCTGATAGGGCACTGTAGAACGTCAACTCCTCATCATCCTCTGGAGATGAAGATCCACCCACATCTACGGTGTGGTCCCACTCCAGTGGGATTGAATCCACACTGACGGGGGTCTCACGCCCTGAGTGCTCTAGAGCAGGTGGTATCAGCTGGGACACGGCCTGGCGTACTGTTAGAGAAACATCAGAACTCATCGCAGCCTCCTCTTCCTCCTCCCTCTCCCACACCCCACTGAAATCAGCCGAGCCCTCCGGATCTGTGTCTCTGTCTGAGAACTCTTGGTCCTCCTCACGCACCTATGAGAAGTGGGCAGGGTTAAAGTCAGTACTCAGTCATGAGCGTATCGTTCAGTGTTTGTGAGATGAGTCGTTTCAAACTGACTGGGCGTCTGCTGATAAGACGGTGGTGGAATCGGGCGACTCTGCCAAATACTTCCTGGCAGTATGAGTGCAGCTCCTCTAGTTCATCTTCAATGAGTACGGCGTCCAGCGGAGCACTCTTCTGGATCAGGTTCTCTCCAAATACAATCAGAGCATCGATCTTATCTGTGTTTAGAGTGATCTCCTGCTGAAATGCCTGCAGGAAGTCAAATCACAAATTATTTTCCATTCTGATTGTGTAACCAGACTTTTATACATAAAATCAGAGTGTACTGTACGTTTAGTTGACGCATCTTTTCATGGATATCGCTCTCCGAAAAATGCTCCACATTGGTGAGCTGAAGGTCCATTTCAGTCAGCCAGACCAGAATCCCCTCCCGTGTTCCTTCAAAGTCTTCACGTTGAGACGTGAAGTGCTGCACAGAGGAGAAGCATTTAGAGTTCAGAAACATTTGAGAAAATTGAGGTTTGCCCAAAAAAGGTACACTTTGGTGTCATGGAAACGAAGAATTGAAGGTCAGAGATGCAATTAATTTTAACATTTTCTCAGGTTTTTAGGTTTATTAGGTGCCATTTCAAACCAGTCAGTATTTGAGAATTTAATATATAATAAAAAGTACTGTTCAAAACTGTAGGGTTGGTAATATTTTTTTATGTTTTAAAAGAAGTCTCTTATGCTCACCAAGGCTGCATGTATTTGATTAAAAACACATTAAAAACACAGTAAAAACTGTAATGCTGTGAAATATTATTACAATTTAAAATAACTATTTTCTATTTTAATTTATTTAAATTTATTTCTGTGATGGCAAAGCTAAACTTTCAGTCTTCGGTGTCACATGATCCTTCAGAAATCATTGTAATATGCTGATTTGCTGCTCAAGAAACATTTCTTATTGATATAAACAGTTGTGCTGCTTGATATTTTAATTTAAACTTTCATACATATTTTCAGGATTCTTTAACAAATAGAAAGTAAAAAAAACTGCATTTATTTGAAATAGAAAGCTTTTGTAATATTACAAATGTTGTATTGTCACTTTTGAACAATTTATTGTCTCCTTACTAACTAAAAGAAAATAAATAAATAACTGGACAACTGTCAGATCAGCAGTCTTCCCCATGATTGTGTAGCCTAGTGAACCAAACTGAGAGACCATTTTGAAGGCTCAGGAAACCTTTGCAGGTGTTTTGAGTTGATTAGCTGATTGGCATGTCACCATATTCTAATTTGTTGATAGTGAATTGGTGGGTTTTTGTTAAATGTGAGCCAAAATCATCACAATTAAAAGAACCAAAGACTTAAACTACTTCAGTCTGTGTGCATTGAATTTATATTTTAATATATAAATATTTAGTAATATTTAATACACGAGTTTCACAATTTGAGTTGAATTGAACTTTTCCACGACATTCTAATTTATTGAGATGCACCTGTATATACTGTATATATGACTTTAATAAAAAAAAAAATGTATGACTCAAGTCTGACCTTTAACCTGCGGAGCACAGTGGCCACTCTCTTCTGTAACGTATCCCAGCGCTGGTTTCCCTCGTGCACCATCAACTTCAGCTTACTGGCACCATCTGTCCGGTTCTCTCGTGCCAGACGTCGGTATTGTTTGTTCACCAGCTCCAGCTGTGTCAGGCGCTCATGGACCTGGCGCTGGAACGCCTGCATGCGCGTATGTTTAAAAACAGTGTTAATAGTCCAATAGATTACGTCTAGACAATCACAAATTTGAAAGCCACTACACTCTTAAAAACAGGTTATTTATTGCCATTTATAGTTCCATGAAGAACCTTAAACATCCATGGAACTTTTCCATTGCACAAAAGGTTCTTTATACTTGAAAAAAGGTTCTTTAGATTATTAAAATGTTCTTTACACTAAGAAAAACAGTCCTTTAAAGAACTCAAATGTTCTTTGGGAAACCAAAAATCGTTTTCTTTGGCGTCACGCCGAAAACCCTCTTAAGCGTGTATTTCAGTATTAATTTTAATCTGTATGAGAGTTCTGGTGCTATTAATCAGGTGATGAACAGGCTACTATGAGTGAAAAAAACCCTTAAACAGATTCAGACCTCAAACTTTTTGAGTTCCTCTTTAGCACAGGTGTAGAGTACATCTTTGGTGGCAGGGTTGGCCGCTGTACGTTCTGCCGTGTTCAGCCACTCTTCAAAGCGTGAGTAGTCATCCAGGAACTTGCACCACAGACGCCATGTCTCCTCGATCCTGCAGAGGACAGTATAGAGCACAGTGGTTAGAGGAAAAAAAGCAAATGCGTGACATTATGCAACCAAACATGCTGATTTGGGTGTTTGTATTGACCTCATTCTCCTCTCCATAGACATGGCACATATGTTTCTCCAGCGGCGGTCCAGGCTGAGCGTAGTCTGCTGAATGGAGTCATTCTCTCCATCACTGCCACAAGCGTCCGCATCATGCAGCAAAACGTCACACAGGGTCAAAACAGACGCTACACCCTCTGTATGCTGTTCGATGTCTCTCTGCAAGTCCTAGTGGAGAACAACAATATCACATTCTAAAGGCCTGCTCACACCAAGGACAGGAACTATAATGATAACTATAAAGTTTTAATAATTGTTCATATTCTTTGAGAAGAGGAAAGTGTACACCACAACTATAATCATAACGACACAGAGGAGCAATATCATTGGAAGCAATTTCAAAATCCATCCTGCTTTAAAGAGCTTGAGCATTCATGGTGTGAATAGGCCTTAAGACTAATGTAGGCCTATAGTAGTCAACATTTGAAGTGGATCAAAAAAGTTCATCAAGACAAGACAAGAACACATTTTGTTTTAGGTTTTAGGACAACTTTGATGAAAGGTTTTGATCCACTTCAAATGTTGACTAGTGTATACCAAAAAACTCATCTAAGAAAGATGACATTGCAAAGACATCAAAGTAATGCAAAAGGCTACATCAATGTCATCTCATATTAGGTGAAACTTCATGTAAATGTTCAATAATGGAGTTATATACACTTAATGGTAAAGATGAATAAGCTTTAGTGTCTCTCTTTACTTATACTCACCCTATAAAGCATTGGTGCTTAGAGAAATCTACCTCAAAACGCATTGTGCACTTTAAACATATATATTAGTTATTGTGGTTTTGTTAATGAATGCACCGATTACCTGATGCTCTGCTAGTTTGCGTTGTATCTCATTACTGTGGCAGATGCTGTAAATGATGGGTTTGGCCAGTTCACCCTCAACGCGGGAAAGCCAGGTACGGAGATTACTCATGTTCTTATCCAGCTGCTGCACTGTCACCAGCGTCTCCTTCAGCTTCCTCACCCTGAAATACAATCAGTCAGTCTTTCAATACCTTAATTGTTTTTGCTGGTATTCAGTAGAACAGTGTAAGAGGAGACAGGAAGCAGTAAGAGGGGAGACAGGAACAGAATTGAGAAAAGACCTTAAGCTGGGACTCGAACTCGAGTCTTTTGTGTATCACAACTTTTGTCTATCACATTGTGTGTATCACTTAACAGCAGTTAAGAGTTTTGATTGGTTGGACATTTGCTTTCCTGTAAAACGGTAGTCAGTCACAGTCATAATTTCTTCTATAGAGTGCAACAGTGTCTGTCCACTTTTTTAGTGTCCTTTCTCCCATTTTCCCATTCATTTGCCCCATAGGGGTTTTAAAAAGTGCAATTTCTGTAGTTTAAAAATGATTATTGTAAAAAAACAATAATGGTTTATAATTTATCGCTAAAAAAATTCCTATGGAGACAATGAACGGGATTTTTACTTTAGAAACCTTTAAGATATGGATATAGAAATGGATTCTTGCAATGAGTTTTGTTCTGTGTGGTGCATGAGGAACAGTTCACATAAAAAGCAAACATTCCTTGACCTAGTGCCATTCCTATAGCTAGCCTGCCAGCTGAGGTTTACAAAGACACAATGTAGGACAAAAGGCTTTTTATTAGGTTTGAGTGTGCAGTGACCCACGTCTGGTCCTTCTGTCGCAATCTATTCAACCCAGACCAGAACACTCAGTGTTAGGACTATCTGAGCATGTAGACGGCTTTCACACCACTCTAAGAGTGACGTCATGTGACTAAGAGGATGGGGGCATTCCTTCACAGTCATGTGACATTTCCAATGGAGGTCCACCAAAACAAACCAGAGTGCTGATGTGGAAGAAGTGACATCACACAACAACTCAACTGCAGGTGACAGCAATGCATTGAAGCATTTGCTGTGCCTATCAGAGGGTTTATTCTTACTGTGACAAACATAAACATTATTTGCATTTATCACATGCAAAATGGGAAAACACACTTAAAATAACAGATGCATGAAGTCAAAGAATATTTGGTGCAATGAAATAAGGTAATGAGACAAGATGTACTCTGTATCATATCAATATAAACATAAAAGCCTTAAAATATGACAAGATTTAGAAAGATATACTCTTTAAATAAAGCATTAGTAATGGCATAATTCCATATGCATGCATCTAGCATGTTCTTCACAGCCTGATTTTGGTGCATATCTGTTCAGAATTGAGAACATGCACCATCTGCACATCACCAGCACGCACGTCCTCCCTAGAAACAAGTGTGTTTCCATGCAAAGCAGAATCTGATCAGTCCTGCACTGAAGCTAGTGTTAGCCACAGAACACACACTGACAAAAGCACTGCCCATCCCCCTCTCACAAAACATGCACGGTTACACGAAAGCCCTGTGTGTGTGCAATTAGCAAACACTTACTCGCAGACTGGTGAGGCTCCATGGCTCTCTCGTGTTAGCGTTAGCATGTCTGTCTTAATGGCTGTGGCTGATCTCACACAAGCTCGTCTTACAGACCGTGAACTGCTGTATACACTACTCCCATATGGAAGCAGATTAGACTCATTCGAATTATTAATTGACGCAAAAGACACGATGCACACATGCGTATCCCAATTCACATGCATGAAATATTTGACAAATATGCATGACAATATTTTCTGCACGTGAATTGGTTTTTGTGAATATATATATTTTTTTCGTGCACGTGAATTGGGTTTCATGCATGTGAATTGGGATACACATGTGTGCATCGTGTCTTTTGCGTGCATTATTATTGAGTCTAATCTGCTTCCATACTCCACCCTTCTGTCCCTCTCTCATATTCAACCCCCCCCCCTCTCTCCCTCTCACTGAATGGCCAAGAGATCACATTTACAGTGGAGATGGTGAGGATACTCCATGTTCCCATCACTTTCTTCAACTACATTACAAATAGGCTACAGCCAGTAGTTTTAAATATTTAGGAACATTTATAGACTGTCATATCACAAACAGCAATTTTGGCATGAGCAAGTATTTTAGAGATGTGTTACAGGAATCTTGTGAAGAGTGTTATGCATTTTATTATGACAATCTGATACAGAAATCAAATCTGAATATTAAATGTAAATCACAATTGTCTTGAGTCGTTTATGTAGCAAGCATGATTGCAAACAGAGTTGGGGGTTACGCATTACAAGTAATGCGAGTTACGTACAAGTAAAGTAACGCATAGAGTTACTTTTCCAAATGAGTAATGCAAGTAACTTTGTTTTCCCATCTATTCACTCACATCTCTCCTGTCCCCCATGTTGAGAGAAATTGGGAGTGAGAAACAAAGGTAGAGGCACTTCCTTTAGCCCGAGGCTTAGTAATTTCACTTTTGGTGTGAAAGGGCCTTTACAGTTGCCAAAAAAATAACTTTTGGGGTTTTTGTTATTAAAAATAAACAATTAAGCCCATCCCAGGTGACAAAAAGGAATGCAAAAGTAACGTAAAGCATTACTTTCCATAAAAAGTAACCAAGTAACACAATTTTAGTTACTTTATGTAATATTGTAATGCATAACTTCCCCTAACACTGATTGTAGGTAACACACAAAGGCAACCAAATCCTATTTATGTATCAAAAGTTAAACAAAAAGAATTCATCTTATCCCTTACATTCTCAATTTCAGTAGTAACCTTTAAGGACTGGTTGTATTAATTAACCAATTGAAACCAGTTAAAAAACAAACAAACAAATATAAATACGTAGAGGACCAGAAACATTAAGCTATTTCTGAGAAAAAATCTAGCATCATTTATTTGTTGTATGTGGCATTATGGGTGTACAGGGCGAGCCTGAATGTGCAAAACTAGTGTCGGGCAAACAGGTAGTAATTACCTGAGCAGGTTAGACAGCATCATGTACTTTTGAAAGTCATTTTCTTTCATATATGAGATTGTTGCCTAACCACAGTTAAGAAAACAGTGTAAAAATACATCAAAAGAATATGTGTATGTTTGTCTTTGTGTGAGTTCATAAGAGTTCAAACAGGGACTTCTACATGTGTTGTAGTCCTCTGTGGTCTGAGATTATGTTCCATGGGCCAAAGATAATTAAATCCAAACCTATCCTGAACAGATTATTAATCCCAGAAGAACACTGTGCCATTCTCTAAGCAACAGGTGGGGGAACTTCACTAATGATCAAGGCAACTTAAAAGAACACATAGAAACAAAACATAGAAACATCTTCAACACAGAACACAGCTACACTAGCAACCACCTAGGAACATGCTAAAACCCACTCAGAACAACTGCATACAGTAGCAGTAACAATTCCAAGAAGTAAAAGTGTACTTCAAATACCCAGATGATGCACTTAACTGAAAAAAAGAAGAAGTGTGGAATGTTGTACACTTCACACACTCAACAGCTTTCCTTACATAGTAGAAAGACAGAGACTGTCAGAATCTAATGCTGGATGACAAAATAACTTCAAATTCATACACTAGATAGACAATGCAGGGTATAAGTGTGTAGCATATAATGCATCATTTGGGACATGTCTTGCATCTTCCAACATGTTTTGGACAGACAAGTACCACTCATATTAAAATCGAGTTAATTTGTAGTAATTGTTTCAGGTTCAAATGTCTCTGGCATGCCTGATTTCAAGCACTTCAGCTAAATGAGTTAAATAAAGATAAATCTGGGCCACAGGGAACCACGTTGGTAGGCCTCACATAGGCAGAGCTGCTTGGCAAAATCTTTCAGTCTTTAGAAGAGAGTAATTCACAGGTGTTGGGAAGATTCAGAGCACACTTCAGCTCTCTGAAGGGTTTAATTCAATCGTCCCACTTCACGGTTAGTCAGTATTCAATATCCATTCAGGATGATAGTCATGGTGTATAAAGATTGTTAAAATGTGGAATTTTATTTGTGAGAAGACAAAAAAAAAAAACCCGCACACACACAAACAGGCAATGCTGTCACACACCCTAAAATAAGCTTATGGCCATAGAAACACTTCCAGCTACAGGTGTCTAAACTTCTCAGTGGAAACTGGAAAACAAATTTCCTCATACAAACCATCCACAAAAGAGTCCTTAAAACAGGGAGTAAAGAGTTTTAATGAACGTTCCTGAATAGGAATCTTCAAGATTGCTTATGAGTATGTTCAGTGGGGGTGTTTTCAACATAACATCTGTCCCATGTTGGTCCTTTGTCCAGCAACAGTGAGCAGGGTTTTGTAAGACACCAAGGGTTCAATAATACAATGGCTGCCATCACTCAGCGAATAGCAGAAGAGCAGAAGGACAGAGCTTTGATGCTGATTGGCCGAGGGACACAATAAGTGTAGACAGAAGACTTATGGGACGGCGAGTGGACACAAAGGCCCACGCAAGCAGACAGCAGCTGCCGCATGTGCAGATGCTGTGAGGGTGTACTCTGCTGTGATTTTAGCTGACAAAAGTGTTGGACGTGTCTGTCAACTTCTGTAATCCTGCTTAGAGACTTGTCTCAATCACACACTCCCACTTGCAAGTTTGTGTGAGTGACACACACAAATATATACACATAAACTGCCATTCAAAAGTTTTGGGGCAGTACATTTTTTAATGGTTTTGAAAGAAGTCTCTTATGCTCACCAAAGCTGCATTTATAAGTTAAAGTAAAAACAGTAATATTGTAGAATATTATTAGAATTTAACATTATTTCTTCTAATTAAAATAGTTTATATTTTAATGTAATATAAATGTAATTTATTCTTGTGATGGCAAAGCCACATTTTCAGCAGCCATTACTCCTGTCTTCAGTGTCACGTGATCCTTCAGAAATCAATCTAATATGCTGAGAACATTTCTTATTATTATCAGTGTTGAAAAAAATGATGTTGCTTTTTTCAGGATGAATAGAAAGTTCAAAAGAACAGCATTTATTTGATATTGTAATATTATCAATCTTAGTGACACCAAACTTTGTAAATATTACAAATGGTAATGTATACAGTATATTAACATATCTCTTCAGATGGTCTAAATACAGATTAAAAATAATGTCTAAACACTTGATAGTGACAATGAAAACAGCGACCAGCTATGACAGGCCCAGGCATGCTGGAGTCATGCTTGTGAACTTTGACCTCAGACACAGAGAACACAAATGACTTCAACAGCATTATCGACTAAAACCTCTTTTGATGTACACAAAGTGAATTTAAAGAAATAGTTCAACAAAATATACATATAATGGACAGTCAGTTGGATCATTATCTCTGACAGAGTGATCTTGTATCATCCCGAAGGTGTTTATTTTTGGATAACAACACTGTTGACTGTTTGCGTGTTGGTTAAACTCGTGCTCATGGAGTCAGTGGTTAATGGGAAGGAATATTGACAGGCGTAAAGTTCCAGCTCAAGGTGAGAGCCGACAAACAGGCAGATCTCGTGCCTGTTTACCTACTGATCCACAAAGCTACTTTTAGTGTCTACATGTACCTGCACAGCCAGTGTTAGCTCTAAAACCTTGACATTAGTGGCACAGAGCCAGAGTTAACATTCAAACCGCTTATAGACATTCAGGAATCTGCTCGGCTGGGAACTATGATAGAAATGTTTGTAGCAAGGCAATATTTATCTGCCCGCCTGTTTGCAAACCGGATTAAAACAAGCAAGCATGCTACTAACACAATAACGCTGCCAGTTTTTAAGGGAAGAGGAAGCTGCAGGTAAAGAGTGCAACAGGCCACCGGCTTCTTCCCTTTATAACCTCCAAACCCTCTCTTAAGAGGCTTGTTTAAGCAACACAATTACATTAAATTACATTCCACCAGCTGATCTGCTTACTGTCACAGTGTTCCAGCTGTATTTTGAATTTTGAAGATCTTTACTGACATTGATGTCTCCAAGAAGAACTTTCAAAATCCATGGACATTTCCACTACACAACAGGTTCTTTATATTATTGAAATGTGCCTTTTGTTAAGAAAATAATGTTTCTTTTAATGTTTCTTAACAAAAAATAAATATAGATGCATTGAATGTACTTTATGATTATCCCAGAGATCCAGAACCGAAGACCAGAGAAAATGAAAAAGAAAAGAAAAGCAGACTTGGAGACAAGAAGTCAACAAGCTGGCCAGCAATGTATCATGAAGCTACAGCCACCATCTGTCTAATCAAAGAGCTGTCAATCGAACGAAGAGCAGGACATACCAACCCCCTCCATACGTTTCATCCACCCTGATACCGCCCATCTAGACTGACGCCACGTGTATGTCTACATTTCAATCTCTCTCTCTTGCAGTTTCTGACTCAGTGGAGCTAATATTTATGCTGCATTGAATGTGACAAACTGCACTTCCTGTCTGTTAAATAAAGTGTGACTGAGATGAATTGGATCAATGTCAGATTAACATCACTGTGCTTTACGAAGTACTTTGAAAGCAGTTCATATCCCATGACCCAAGTGCTTTTAAAAAGCCAAAGTTCTCAAGTTACTTGTGCATCACAGTTTTATGGCCACATTCTAGCAGTATTTATAATAAAGGAGTGTTATGTACTGCATCTGATTTGGTGTATTTCGGCGTGACCATGCTCAGGGTTACTCTAAGGTCTTACCTGGCCTCGATGTGATCAAACAGATGCTGCCAGCGGTCGTTGATGTCCTTGATCTTGTCATTGATGTCTGTTTCTTTGGTCTTGTTGCTAGCAGTGATGAGTTGTTCTCCCAGCTGTTTCAGATGTGTCTTATTCTCACTAAAGAGGTTGATCTCCTCCATACAATCCTGAAGAGAGTCAATATTTGAGTGTAAGTGGGCGAGAAAAGTAATAATGATTAATATTTTTAGAGTCATACTCTTGTTGTTTGTTTGCTTACAAACATTAAGTGAAACAGGAAATTTAGCAAGAAAATGAAAGCAAATAAATGTGGAATAAATATTCGTTTTGCTATTTAGGTTTAGCAAAATACAGTGAAATGCTGGATCAGACAGTACAGTGTATCTGAGGTGGTTTATGCTGGGTGATCGAAGAGCTTTGTCTCACCTTCTTGAGTTTCTCCACCATTTCCTCAATGCTCAGCTCAGCACTGTGTGCCACCTTGTTTTCCATCTGTGTCAGCCATTCACACAGCTCCCGATTCTTCTCATTGAAAATGATCCAGGCATTCAGTCGATCAGCAATCTCCTGCTTACGAAGTGACACCTACAGAGAGAGAGAGAGACATAAAATACATAAGAGATATGACAGCAGTGCAGCTCACACAGAAAGGAATCTCACTAAACCTGTCAAAAAGATGTGCAGACCATATTTCTCACTAAAATCAAAAGAAAAACATAATAAATATGTTTTTCGCATTTTGGCAATTAAGAATAGACACAATTCTGAGTACCATAATTTTGTAAATAAAAATAAAATAAATAAATAATAAATAGTAATAAATAAACAGTATTAATTATGTTTCCATTATTATATTAATTATAATTATATTATATAAAAAATAATTATTATATTTAATATTGTTGTACTGCCTTTATACTGATTTTAAAAACAATTACAGTAATTGTATTTTTAATATATATATATATATATATAGTTAAATGTGATCTTACAGTATGATATAGATATGTTTTTGTGACACATGGACACAATCAATTAATAAAATTAGTCTCAAATTATGTGAAATCAGAATTTAACTTAATAAATACAATTTAAAGAGACTCATAATATACACAGGCTCATAATGGGGAAAATAAAAACATGAATTCTCTTCTCTTTTCAAGTTTATGGCAAGACAGGGTAATCCAATTTTGTTACAAAGGACCCATATATGTGTTTAAAGATCTCTAGCCAAAACATCTTTATGAACCTTGTCACTAGAAATTTTTAAAATCCTGAAAACTCAACAGCTGCCACATGTGGACTTCACCGTTACCAGGCAACACCTCCACACCCCCCCACAAACACACACTCACACTCCGGCATGCCACAGACACACACTGAGAGTGACTTCCAAAACAAAGAGCTAAAGACTCCTGCTTCTATTCACTTCTGTGTGTCTTTTCTCTGTGTCCTTCACTCTCTACCATCTGCTCTCTCGTTCCAGTGTTAAAGACCCCCACCCACCCCAAAACTCACACCAGACCCCCAAAACATGACGCCAGGAGACTCCAGCTGATTGATCCAGCACCATATTCATTAAAAACAGCAGCAAAACCCTAATATGAGTGATGCATAGGTTCTGAAAGTAAATCAATACATGGTCACCAGAACAACATGCATCAAGGAACTTCACAGGAACAATGACTCCAGCTGAATCAATGAGCACTGATGAGAAAACATCAGACAAATCCTCACATCTGTTTTTGGGTAGTGATGGTGTGTTAACATTGTATTTATTTGAGCATGTCGTCTGTGTATGTACTGTAGGTTTATTTAGCAGTAGCTGGAGACAAAACTGTCTACAAAGGTTAAATATAACAAAACACCCCTTGGTAACACTTTAGTATAAGGACCAATTCTCACTATTAGCTAGTTGCTTATTAGCATGCCTATTATACATAATGACTGTTTATTAGTACTTATCAAGCACATTCTGCATGACCATATTCTACATCCCTAATCCTACCCAATACCTAAACTTAACAACTACCTTTACTATCTATTAATAAGCAGCAAATTAGGAGTTTATTGAGGCAAACGCCATAGTTAATGGTTTGCAAATAGCAAAAATTAGACCTTAAAATAAAGTGTGACCCGTTCTCAAAAGTAACATTTTTAATAAATTAATGAATGAAAGAAAGAAATAAAATACAAATTCATTAATTTTTAATAATTTAGATAAATTAATAGTTTTAATAACAGCTAATAAATAAGTTCTCTTTAAAGTGTAGATTTTTAGTTTGGGTTAGGTTTCACTCAGTAATTATAATTAACTTTAGAAAACAACAAAAAATGGTATGCCTTCATTTAAGATATCTGTAGGTAAACACATGTTTTCAAATAAGCAAAGTGTTTCAAAAAACAGGTGTTTTAAAAAGCAAATGTTGCTAAGTATCTACACCTTAAACTACATACAAATAATACAGATTCATTCATTATCTTTTACTGTTAAATATTTCCTTAAACTTCTCACACACTAAGGGTTATCAGTCAGCTTAATGAGTTAGAGCTGTCAATGTTTAGACACATGATTCCTGAAGGCTTTATATTTGCTCTGTTTCCTCCTATAGTTCATCTAAACGTCTAAAGCATAAAATACATAAAGTCACTGCTATATCTGCTAGGTTACCATATTTGTGTGTCTTACTTTGAGGCAGAGCTCTTCCCACTGGCAGTGCAGATGGTCCACTTGCTCCTGCAGGAGGAGGACGTCATCAGTGAGGATGTACTGGGACAGGTCCGTCTTCATGGTGCTGAGCTCGGAAAGACTGACGGCCCAATCCTCTAAACAATCCTGAACCTCCTGCATAACATAACACACCACCGTCACACACACTCACAGAAAACACTGCCACACGTCCCAGCTCTGACTCACGCAATCTCTCTCTCTTTTACCCTGTGGCCCAACGAGATTAAAGCCCATGGGACAAAGAGGGAGGGCAGGAGAGAGAAATAGAGGGAGGGAGGAGGATCACTGCTGAATAAGCCTACAGCAGGGAGGAAGGGAAATCCTAAGTGTCATGCAACACAAACAAAAGCTATTATGTGTGGTTTTAGCACAAGCTAAAAGCTAACTTTCACCATAGATGCTTTTAATTTTACCAAACACCATACCTGTTGAGCTTTGTTTTGAGTACAGTATTTATCAGTATTTTATTTTGGTTCTGTTGCTCTTTTATAGAAAAAGTAGGTAATTCTTTACCCCCAGACATATTTCAGGTGCATTGTTCCTGTAATATGTCAGTCAACAGTATATGAAGCAGTTCACCTTTTAGAGTTAGTGTACCTTCACAAGGAGGCGTTCCTCTTCCATCTCCTCCTGCTGATCTGGGATCGACTGCTTCAGTTTGGCTCGTACCTCATTCAGGCTCTGCACCTGATCAGCTAGTCTGGTCTCACAGGTCTCCCATTTCTGTAAAATAATTTTAAAAACATTCAAATAGAGGCTCCTATAATGCTGTAGCATGATTTTGATATAATAGCTTATATAAGCCTCTTTATATGGGTATGGAGTTATCATTAGTCAGGAAAAGCATAAATAATGCAGAGAACACAAAGACAGCTTATATGTGAGGGTAGATCTGTACACACAAACATATGGACAGGTGTCCAGACATCCACTGTGGAAGGTCAGTGTGCACTACATTAAACCAATGTCTCGGCTCAGAGACAAATGAAAAGTTAAGACACGACTAGGGGCAATGAAAACACACGCATGCACAAACACACACCAGTGTGGGGTTATCACAACAACACAAATGCATCTACATGCTAATACTGTACACACATATCACATATACAGTATAATACAAGTAAAACCATATTATAATCACACATACTGCACAGAGGAAACTCCCATGCAAGAATATGGCAAAATGTTGCAGTGCACTGTCATTAATTTTATAAGGTGTTGCATGAGAAATGAAGACAGACAAAGTAATGTGAGAGAGAGAGAGAGAGAGAGAGAGAGAGAGAGAGAGAGAGAT